ACATAAACGTAGAGTGTTATTTCTAAACTCCACTGTATCTTTTGTATCTAGCTGTTGTTTGGTTATGCGTATAAAAGTCATAGTGTTGTAGTTCGTGTTTTTAAGAACGTTGTTGCGAATGTACTTTTGCACATGTTTGTTTACATGTACGTTTGTGCATGTCCAGTTGAGCAAGTGTGTTTGTGCATATTTGTTGATTTGTATTAATGTACTAGGATTATAGTTTGTGTTTTCATGATTCTTTTTGCGAATGCACTTTTGCGTGATTACTTTTGTGCAAGCTGTTATACTGTTACTTATGTGCGTATCTTTTCTAGCTAGTGTTTTTGTGCACGTTTCTTGATGAGAATTCATGTCCTCGAACTGAAGCACGTATTTTCATGATCACTTTTCGAATCCAAATTTGACCATGTTCGAGTCCGAATTTGGATTTTTGACGTTATTCAAGAAATGTAGCTAGCTGAAATAGCTTTCTATTGCCGCGAGAACCGGTTGATTCGTGGACACTAACGAAGATGTTTAGGGATCCTGTCTTCTAATTTGATTTTATAAGATACTAAATCCATCAATTAAAATACTCTTCGATCATTTTTGCTTCATGGACTCCTAATTATCAATTTGTACATATAAGATACTAAATCCAACAATTAAAATAGAAATATAAATTAATCAAAAAAAAAATCCACGTAAACGTGAACGTAGAGTGTTATTTCAAAACTCCACTGTATCTTTTGTATCTAGTGTTTTTGCTGTTGGTTTGGTTATGCGTATTAAAGCCCTAGTGTTGTAGTTCGTGTTTTTAAGAACGTTGTTGCGAATGCACTTTTGCGCATGTTTGTTTACATGTACGTTTGTGCATGTCCAGTTGAGCGAGTGTGTTTGTGCATATTTGTTGATTTGTATTAATGTCCTAGGATTGTAGTTTGTGTTTTCAAAATCCTTTTTGCGAATGCACTTTTGCGTGAGTACTTTTACGCATGCTGTTGCACTTTTACTTATGCGCGTATCATTTCGAGTCAGTAGTTTGGTGCACATTTCTTGATGCGCATTCATGCCCCCGGAACCAGTTGATTTGGAGTCCAGATGAGAAAGTTATGCTCGACTTCGTGGACACTACCAAACATGTTGAGGGATCCTATCTTCTAATTTGATTTTATTTTCGTAATTGCAACTCTTTTCTTACTCTTTCATCATTTTTGCTTCATGGACACCTAATAAACGATTTGTACCTATAAGATACTAAATCCACCAATTAAAACAGAAATATTAATTAATAAAAAAAAAAATCCACGTAAACGTAAACCTAGAGAGTTATATCTAAACTCCACTGTATCTTTTGTATCTAGTGTTTTTGCTGTTTGTTTGGTTATGCGTATTAAAGTCCTAGTGTTGTAGTTCGTGTATGTAAGAAAGTTGTTGCGAATGCGCTTTTGCGCATGGTTTTTTACATGTACATTTGTGCATGTCCATTTGAGCGAGTGTGTATGTGTATGTTTGTTGATTTGTATTAATGTCCTAGGATTGTAGTTTGTGTTTTCATGATCCATTTTGCGATTGCACTTTTGCGTGAGTAATTTTGCGCATGCTTTTAAACTGTTACTTACGTGCGTATTTTTTCTAGCGAGTGTTTTTGTGCACGTTTCTTGATGCGCATTCATGTCCTCGAACTGTAGCACGTATTTTCATGATCGCTTTTGGAATCCAATTTTGACCATGTTCGAGTCCGAAGTCGAAAATTTGACGTTAGATAGGAATTGTACCTAGCTGAAATAGCTATCTAATGCCGCCGGAACCAGTTGATTTGGAATCGGATGCGAAAGTTATGCTCGACTTTGTGGACACTACCGAAGATGTCTAGGGATCCTCTCTTCTGATTTAATTTTATTTTCCTAATTGCAACTCTTTCTTACTCTTTGATCATTTTTGGTTCGTGGACACCTAACTATCGATTTGTACCTATAAGATACTAAATCCACCAATTAAAACAGAAATATAAATTAATCCAAAAAAAAATCCACGTAAACGTAAACGTAGAGTGTTATTTCTAAAGTCCACTTTATATTTGTATCTAGTGTTTTTGCTGGTTGTCTGGTTATGCGTATTAAAGTCCTAATATTGTAGTTCGTGTTAGTAAAATCGTTGTTCCGAATGCACTTTTGCGCATGTTTTTTTACATGTACGTTTGTGCATTTCCAGTTGAGCGAGTGTGTTTGTGCATGCTTGTTGATTTGTATTAATGTCCTAGGATTGTAGTTTGTGTTTTCATGATCCTTTTTGCGAATGCGCCTTTGCGTTAGTACTTTTGAGCATGCTTTTGTACTTTTCATTATGGGCGTATCTTTTCTAGCTAGTGTTCTTGTGCACGTTTCCTTATGCGCATTCATGTCCTCTAACTGTAGCATGTATTTTTATGATAGCTTTTGGAATCCAATTTTGACCATGTTCAAGCCCGAATTTGCAAATTTGACGTTAGACAGGAATTGTAGCTAGCTGAAATAGCTTTCTAATGTCACAAGAACAGTTGATTTGGAGTCCGGATGAGAACGTTATGCTCGACTTCGTGGACACAACCAAAGATGTTGAGGGCTCCTCTCTTCTAATATGATTTTATTTTCCTAATTGCAACTCTTTTCTTACTCTTTGGTCATTTTTGGTTCGTGGACACCTAATTATCAATTTGTACCTATAAGATACTAAATCCACCAATTAAAACAGAAATATAAATTAATCAAAAAAAAAAATCCACGTAAACGTAAGCGTAGAGTGTTATTTCTACACTCCACGGTATGTATCTTTTGTATCTAGTGTTTTTGCTGTTGTTTGCTTATGCGTATTAAAGTCCTAGTGTTGTACTGTTTTTAAGAACGTTGTTGCGAATGCACTTTTGCGCATGTTTTTCTACATGTACGTTTGTGCATGTCCATTTGAGCGAGTGTGTTTGTGTATTTTTGTTGATTCGTATTAATTTCCTAGGATTGTAGTGTAACAACCCAATTTTCCAAAGCCCGAAAACCCTAAAACCCGAGACTAATATTTCTAACTCGAGAACCGTTAGGAAATATTATTGCTTGATATTAATTATATGCAGTACGTGAATTTAATTATGTGACTTACGTGAATGATTACCTGTGTTAGTATATGTGTAATTTATATGAGTCGAATTTTCGTAGATTGAAATTTTAGGAAATTGGTGAATTACGTGACTTATGTGCATAATTGCATATCTTATTTATTTGGTACATTATTTTTATATATTTGAAATTTGGTGAATTATGTGGATTACATATATATATATATATATATATATATATATATATATATATATATATATATATATATATATATATATATATATATATATATATATATATATATATATATATATATATATATATATATACACACGTACATACATGCATGCACATGTACACATACATATGGGCTAATACTTGCATTATGGAGTATATTTACATATATGATATAGTTATATGTGTGTGTGTGTATATCCGAGATGTGTGTGTGTTGTCATGCAAGTTGGATTTAATTTAAGTAATAAATTATGATTAATTGGGCATGCATTTACACTTGGCAAAATGCTAATCATTTTCACTAATCCTACACTCCACCCTACTTAGAAAGATGAAGAGCCACCCTTCCTCTTTCTTGTTTCAACACCTAGTCAAATTACTTGTCTTCCTCTCCCTTCCCCACCGAAACAAATCACCACCACCATCGGCCTCTACTCTCTCCACCTCACCTCCTATTTTTAATAGAAATTCACAAAATAAGATGAATGTTCCTTATTTAACACTTGCTATAAATTACTCCAAGAACACTATCAAAACCACTTGCCTCCTTTCGGGAGATCACAACTCATCTCTCCTTGAAGCTCACACCATTTCATTCACAATCA